ATTTAAACGTCAAAGTATATGGGGAACACCTCATTCAAAGCACTACACAGTTCAAATGTTTTTCAACAAGGCATTGTTTGAAAACTGACCACAGGATGGAATACTATCTGGCAATAAGAAAAAAAAATCACTGCCATGTCCTGCTCAGTGAATAAAGCTACATACGATAGAATTCCTTCTTAATTTGGGGGACATTCCCCCAAAGGTAAAAATATAAAGATTAAAACTTATAGGTAGCCGAGGACTGTGATCAGGCAAGTGAGCGGCTAAGAAGAGTACTGTGGAATGGGGGTGGGGAGGGTTTAAATATCTGCTTCTTGATTATGGAGGTTATACAGTATTGGTATAACTGAGAATTCCTGGGGGAAGCTGTCTGCCTAGGCTGACTGGCTGATAAAACCTTCAGTGACTATGAAGGATTTGCAATACTTTTGACCTGATAGCCTAATTAAATTTCTTTGGGGCTACCTTTGACCCCCTCAGAGCCACCCCTTGCCCTCCTTCATATCAGACCTAACAACGTGATAAACAAACGAAGAACACTTGGAATGTGTTAGCTTGGAAAAACCCTTTCTTCACCGCTGGAGGACTAAGGATGCTTCCCAGCACCAGAGGCCTATAGTTGAGATTCCTCTGCCTGCTGTAACCACCCACTTAATGTTTCCACCAAGGTGCTGTGCAGAGACACCCTGACCAAAGCAGCTGTTACAAAAGAAAGCCATTAACTGGGGACTTGCTTACAGTTTCGGAGGGTTGGTCCCCGATCATCAAGGCAGGGAGCATGGTGGGACCATGGCCACGCTGCAGGCACTGGAACAGGAGCTGAGAGCTACATTTTGATTCCCAGGCAGAGGGAGAGAGAGACACGGGACTCCACCCAATGTGAACTTTCAAAACCTCAAAGGCCACCTGCAGTGACATATAGATGTAACTAACCGTCTTATTAAATAAGAAACACAGAAACAATGTAAAGAAGAAAGCCGAGAGGTCAGAGCTCAGAGCTAAAATCTCACCCTTCCTCCTGCTGTCCCAGCTTCGCGAAAAGAGACCTACTTCCTGTCGGTTCGTTTTTTTATAGTATGTTGTTCTGCCTTCTCATTGGTTGTAAACCCAAACACATGACTTCCTCGTCACTGTCTGAATGTACAGCCCCCTAGGTCTTAAAGGCATATGTCTCCAATGCTGGCTGTATCCCTGAACACACAGAGATCTTATGGGATTAAAGGCGTGTGCCACCAACGCCACACTCTTGCTATGGCTCTAATAGCTCTGACCCCCAGACAACTTTATTTATTAACATACAATCAAAATAATAATTCAGTACAATTAGATTACCACCACAGTGACACACCTCCTCCAAGAAAGCTGCACCTCTTAGTCCTTCTAATCCTCCAAACAGCTGCACTCTCCGGGGACAAAGCCCTCAGATATATGAGCCCATGGGGGCCATTCTTATTCAAAGCACCACAAGAGTTATGGTCAATCTGTATCTGACCTCTTTTAAAAAGGAGAGTATGCATAAGGAATACAGAGAAATCACCCAGGATTTGGGCATCAGAAATTCCTGGGGTAAAAAGCCTAAACAATTCTGGGTTCTTTTCCATCCTCACATAGGCCAGCGCTTACAGCAGATATGTCTTTGCCTGAACAGACAAGCAGGGAATCAGGAGCAGGGTGAAGTGGTGTTGTGCCCAGATCGTGACCCCCCAGAGAGACCACCAAAGACAAGCATGCCAGAATGCAAAAGCAAGGTTTAATTCTGGATATCCAAAAGCAATACAAGCCTAGGCAGGGACTTCATCCAATACATACAATGCAGTGGAGGCTGGAGGAAGTGCCCACCTGTCTGCAAGCTCAGTTTTTAAAGGGAAAAGTCACAAGGTTACATCATTTAGAGGTGCTAGTATGGATACAATTCTGATTGGCTCACTTCTAGGGACTTCTAGAAATTACTTCTAAGGGAGTGGTTGCCCGCCACCATTTCTTATTGACTGCCCTCAGGTGGGGGCATTTCTGTGGTCAGTTACCCTGGAAACCAGGGAGAGGACATTCCATAGTCTGGCAGGCATTACCTCGTGACTATCTTGTGACTCTGTACTTTTATACTTTCTTGTTTCTGGAATCTGAACTGACTGGTTTCAGTAACTAATGGCCTATTCCCAAAAGGAGAAATCTTAGGCCTTAGTTTTTGGGTGAAAGCGTTTCTAAGATGGCTCATTTTGGTCTCACATTTCCCCCTTCTCATGTGCCTAATGGAACCCAATCATGGGTTTTGGACAGTTAGTTCCTAAGTATCCCTCTCTAATAATGGCCATGTATAGTTAGCCATCTTGTCTCTATGCCAGGGAGTTTCATTTTGACCCAGCATTTCAGCCTTTTCTGAACAAGGAACATGGGTGACGTATTCTCTTCTGGAACTGCTTCGAGCTGGCATTGTTGGTTAAGTTGGCACTGCTTGTGGCTGGCCGCCGCCTGCAGCAACCATGCCGGCAGAGGAGAGTGCTGATCGGAAGAATCACAAGCCATGGTTACCTTTTTAGAGCTTTATTGGGAGAGAGGAGAGAGAGAGAGGGAGAGAGAGAGAGAGAGAGAGGGAGGGAGGGGGAGGGAGGGAGAGAGAGTGGAAAGAGAAGAAGGGGAAAAAGAGCAAACAGAGGGCCCACTTGCTTTTTAGGCTGGAACGCCGTCACAGGCTGGTGACGTAATTAAGGGCAGAATCCTTACACATATGACCCAGAAATGACTAGGCGGAGATGACTAAGTGTCCCGACAGACATGCACGACCATGGGGGGGTGGTTGGAATTCCTATCAGTCCTACTTTGTGAATCCTCCCCACTTTAGTAGATCACTGAACATTTGCTCCAAGTCCATCTGCACAGGTGCTCACAGACATACCAGTGCTTCAGCTCATTCTACACAAAGTGAATGGCATCTCTTCACGGCGTTTGCTGAAAGAATGTTAGGTTAATTTGGAGCAGAGTTCTAGTGCTCAGCATTAGAAATGCTTTCTAACACATTGCTCAGGTTTGGGATTTAGTTGATTCTGTCCTGTGTTTAGTTAACAGGAAGCCTAAAAATAACGAGCTTAACTCTTTAAGTGTAGAGGTAAAGGGGAATTTTGGTCAGATCCCTTGTGGCTTGGAAAACGTGGTCCAGCACTTCCATTCGCTATCCACAGAGCACATCAGCATACTAGTCTCTCTCAGGAACCTTCCAGAAGGGTTGCTCAGCTGTGTTCTTCTAGCAGACCTTGAGCACCACGTGAGCAAGGCCCAAGTGTGCTTGCTGGGTGCTCAGCACTACCCCTACGACAAGGCTGCTCTCTGTTTTCTGTGGCCCTGTGTTTCCCACAGTGTCTTTGAGCTACAAATTCTTTCTTGCTCTCACATCTGTTTAACAGCCTTCTTATAAGTGTTTCTCAAGAATTGATGATTTAGCTATTTAAAAAAGTATAAAAACCAATTTGCATTGCCCCAAAAGAAAAAGGGAATCATTATTTAAAAAGGCACTTGATGTCATCTCTGTAGCCTCATTCTTCTTCCAGCATTCAGAATTCAGCGAGAATACGATGAGTCAAATCGCTTTCAAATGTAGAGGACCCACCTCCCACCCACACCTAGGACGTCAGGAAATTCACCCAAATGATACTTTTTCTTACCGTCGTCACTTCATGCTTTCAAACGACAAGGGGAAAATAATGTGAGAAACCATGAATTACATATCTGCAGAGACCTGGGAAAGTTCAGCTAATCATGGTCCTCTTACTATTGACTTTCGCCACTTATCTGGTCCTCGAAGGGTCTGGAAATAGAAACTGTCAAAACACGAAGCCAGTGATGAGGTCGCAAGCCAGGCAGGCAGCCAGGATGTCAGAAGTCCTGAAGCCCAGCTCAGTTCTTTAGCAAGCTCAGTGGTTGGAATGAAACCACCCACCCCACCATAGGCTCGTAGGGAATGGCACTATTTGAGAGGATTGGGACGTGTGTCCTTGTTGGGGGAAGCGTGTCACTGGGGGCCAGCAGGCTCTGAGGTTTCAGATGCTCAAGCCATGCCCAGTGACCCAGTCTCTCTTCTTGCTGCCTGAAGATCCAGACCCAGAACTCTCAGCTCCTCTCCAGTATCACGTCTGCCTGCAGGCTGCCACGCTCCCTGACAGGCTGATAATGGACTAAACCTGCAAAACTGTAAACCAGCCCCAGCTGAATGTTTTTCTTTATAAGAGTTGCTGTGGAGCCGGGCGGTGGTGGCGCACACCTTTAATCTCTGCCCTTGGGAGGCAGAGCTAGGAAGATCACTGTGAGTTTGAGGCCAGCCTGGTCTACAGAGCAAGATCCAGGACAGGCACCAAAACTACACAGAGAAACCCTGTCTCAAAAAATAAAAATAAAATAAAAATTAATTAATTTTTAAAAAAGTTGCTGTGGTCATGGTGTTTCTTCACAGTAACAGAAACCCTAACTAAGACAGGGCCAGTGAAGAGTATGCTGACTAGAGTTCAAAGATGGAGGGGAGGCAGCCCACCAGGAGGTAGGGCATGCAGCTTTCCTCCTCATCTGCCTCCCCCATCCTTTGCTCCAGAGTTCAGAATGTCAAGCTAAATTTCAAATGGAGATTTTCCAAAGAGATTGAGTTTATTCCAGAATAACACTTCAATGAGAATGTGCGAGCCATAGTGAATTGTGTTCACACTCAAGGTCACTGAGGGAAAGGAAGTTTTAAAAGGCAAATGAGGAAGATTACAGGAATTGTTTTGATACAATAATTCTTGTCTACAGGTATAAATAAAGGGTGGCCCAAGGTCAAATACCCAGTCCCAAGGGAAATATCCTTATACAAGGATTTTGTGTGTGAGCTTGTAGAGACCTTGTACAAGTTCTTGTGAAGCTCTTGGTATTTTTTGTTTGTTTTGTTTTCATGCATAAGTGCATGAGAGGGCCTCCTTCTGAGTAGCCTAGCTTTATTGGGTCATTATTAATTCACAAATGATTACTTTTCACAGGAACGTTCTCTCTCTGCCACAGAGATTCTGCTGGCAATGTGCGTTTGTGTGCGATGTGGTAAGAAGACTTGCTGCTGTCTCCTGTGCTGCCCCGGTGTCTCCGTGGATCTCTCAAAGCAGGGAGAGGCCTATGAATTGGAGAGGTGGCCTCAAGCTCACGGTCCCTGGAGATCCAGTCACTCACTCCAGGTTCAGCCAGGGGGCGGGACCAGAGCCCTGGGTGTGGTGGGTAGGTCGTAGAAAGGACTTGTAGGCAGTAGAACTTCCACAGGTGTGAGAGGACCTGAGCTAACGTGCGCAAAGATGAGCTGGGGATGATAAAAGAAGTCAGCATCCAGGCACACAAAGGAGACACACAAGACACACTGGTCTGTGGAGAGCCCTAGGCTCTGTTCCTTCTGTGGGTCAATAGTCTGGCGCCCCTAGGGGTGGGCGGGAAGCGGCAGCTGGGTCACAGATCCAGCAGTGTGGAGAACTAGATTGAGAGCCGACCCATGCAAGCTTTGTTCGCCACACAGGGCCGTCAGAAAGCAGTAGTCCCCGGATGTTTTCTTTCCTTTCAAATTATGCACATCTTGCCAACCCTACCCTAACTCCATAAGCAAGCAGACTTGGAAAAGACGGTTCTAGGCTTCATTGAGTTGACAAAGCACAAGCCACCAGCGTCCAGATAGCTGTCAGGCTGGAACATGAGGCCCCTGTGGCCCTCCCTCTAGTCAACACGGCCAGCCCGGTTCAAGCCACGTGGCTTCTCAAACGCCCACAACTCATGGGTCTTTGTGCTCCCTTTTCTTTGCAGGGGACACGGAAGCATTGTCTGGGCACAGTGTCACAGATCATCCTATTTCTGAAACCACGTCAATGACCTGTCCTTCACGGGAGACTGTTCCGTCCCCCAATGCTCGACTCTAGACAAGCAGGTGGCCCACACATGCATCCTTACAACTACTATGGCAGAAACCCTGAGCTCAGAAACATCCCTTCAGACCTAGGTGAGCACATGGTGTCATCTCAAGTAAATTGCCTGGCGTGTATGCCTCAGTTTCCCTGCAAGTTAAAACCACGAAAGGCTGCTGTGAAAGAAACTTTCTAGCTCAAATATTCCATAACCGGACCTCTGTGGAAACTTTGTCTGGAGCAGCAAGTCAGCAATTTCATAAAGAGAAGGGAATCGGCCAAAGCAAACCTCCAGTGTGTGGAAAAGGAAAGAGGCAGTGGCCCCCTCCCGTTAGCCACACCACATTCTGCTACCTCAGACGGATGCTGCTTAGTCACCTAAAGCATAACCTTGCCCAGCTCCAAGCTGCTGCCGGGGCTCAGGCTAGAGACTCTGTGGTTGTGAGTCACAAAGGCAGTGGGCCAGGAATCCAAACAAAAGGCCATCCGCCCTCCCTAGCTGGTTTACTAAGAGCCAGTTACTTCCCCAAAGAGAAAACCGTATTTGTGGCTCAGGAATTATCAGGCGTTTCCCTCCAAATCGCAGCTGAGAAGAGGATTCCTAACCTACCCTTTGGAAAATGGAGATTTTCCATTTTGGGTGTTGTTTTCTGTTGTTGGACTCATGTCTCATTCATGGTCCCCAAGGTCACAGCAAATGCTATGTGAACAGAATCCTGACACTGCCACAGCCTGGTGGTGTCTCATGCCCTTAGGCCTATTATTCCCTTTGCTCAACTTGAAGACACAGGTTTAAAGCAAGACTCTGAAATATTGGCACACTTTGATGGGCCATGCTTTAGCCCACAAGCATGTGCATCTTAGCACCCTGCTGGGCTGCTGATAGTCATCTGATGAATATTTACTGACTGCTGCAGGAGACGTCAGGGAGAGGCCATCCCAGACCTGGTTTTAGAGTCCTGTGCCCAGGTTGCCCCACCCCACCCACCCCCGCCGCCTAACTTCAGTTTGAGAGGAAGTATAAACTACAATGCATAGACTATAAAAGGAGCATGAAGAGGATCAAAGGTCGGAGGGAAATGGAAACACAAGTGGTATCTTCCTGGGCGTGAGCACAGTGGCCTCGGGGAGAGGGAGATGTCTGCAGAGCCGGTCACTGTCTGGAGGCCAAGAGTGGAGGTGTGATCCTGAGAACCCACGATGACGACAGGAATACAGGAGAGGAGCGGGGGAGGGGGGGGGCGTACACAAGCTGTGCAGGGTCCGAAAATGCAGCACGATGCTGTGTAGTGGGAGCTCATGCTTGAAGCCTGGGACACAGTGTTACCTCTAAGACATCCCAAGGGGAGGGGTGAGGAGTGGGGAGGTTTCTTTCAGAGAATCTGTTTCCCTTGCAGCTCCTCAGGGGCGGTGACAGGTGAGCTCTTCTTCTTTTCCTTCTTCCTTCTGTGCGTGTGCGTGTGCATGTGGTGGGGGGCGATGGTTGTTGTTGTTATTGTTTTTCAAGACAAGGTTTCTATGTATAGTCCTGGCTGTCCTGGAACTTGCTCTGTAGACCAGGCTGGCCTCAAACTCAGAGATCTCCCTGCCTCCTGGATGCTGGGATTAAAGGTGTGCGCTGCCGCCGCCGCCGCCGCTGCCGCCGCCACCACCACCACCACTGGCTCATTTGAGCTTTTCTTAAAGGCTGAACTGAAGGAGTTAGTGAAGTCACTAAGGCTGAAGAGCAGCGTCTGGGCCCTAAGCTCCTGCCAACTTCCTGCTGTTTGCACCTGCCAGGCCTACCTGGGTGACTGACAGCTCCCTTATCAGCAAAGCTCACACGTTTGACGAATCTCTGTGAGCACGACAACAGAGGAAGGAACAATGCTATGAATAAAACAAGTAGAAACTCCCACCCCTCAGCATACCTTCGGGGGTGGAAACAGTAATAATACCTATCGCATAGGGTGCCATGTGTTAGATCTCAGGAAGTGCCCATGTCCAGAAATGACAATCTTGGCCCAGCTCAAGCTAGACTATAAAAGGATTGTCAGAGGTTAGATAAAGCCAGCATTCCTCAGGAACTTGTGAGACAGTTCCCATCAACGAAAGAAGTCATTTCCCTTGCTTCTGGCAGAAGGGACATGTATTTATATGGCTCTCCATTGACATAGACCCCCGGTTGCATATCAAAGCCCATGCTGGCCTCCGGACTCCTTCAGTCCCTCTTCACAGGTACCCATTATACATTTCAAAGCTCCCACATAGCCTCCTGGCCCTTCTCACTTCCTCCTGAACCCTGGACTCCTGGGTCTGCTCCAGACATTGCCTCCCCCACCCACCCCCCATCTACTGGCCCTTATAAACCACGGCCCCCACCACTGTCTCCCTCTGTTCTCCTCTTCTCACAGATAGCCCTGGTCCTGTTCAGTCTGCTTCCTTTTCTCTCTCCTCTGGATTCTTCCAGACGCCTCTGGATGTTCTCTCTCTCTCTCTTATTAACAATAAAAACCTTCCCGCCAATCATGGAGCAGCCATTTTGGTGGTTTCTTTACTATGCCCTGTGAAGGGAGGAGGGGGTCCCAAAAAAGCTTGACCACACAGCAGCCATGACAGGCTTAGAGGCCCAGACACAGCTTCTGTGACAGGCTTACTGGCAAGCAACACCCGGATCCAGGAGAAGCCATGAGCTGACCCCACCCAGGGAGGGTCTGCATCTAAGGGGAAATACCTGACATTCCCTGTACCCCTAGACAAATGTCAGCCAATCAGGGTCCTGAACCCCGAAATCCCCTCATCCCAACCTCTGCTGTGATAAAAACCCCACCCTGCCCAGGCTCGGGGCTCTCTGCTCTCACTGCTGCATCAGACAGACAGAGTCCAAGCTCCAAGCTTGAAATAAAGGCTCTTTGCTTTTACATATGGGATTCGGTCTCCATGGTGGTCTTTTGGGGGTCCCTGTGATCTGGGCATAATATGCCCCTCACATACACCATGAAGATTAAGGAGTGATATGTCAAGTTCACAAAACAATGATGCATTTAATGTTCCACAAATACTGGTTGTTGTTATTAACTGGGTAAAAAGAGTGAAGACACTGGCATTGGAAGTAGGGAAGGACTTGGTGTGTTAGACAATAACAAGCAGTTAATTAAGGAAGAGTGGGGCTACTGAAGGTGAAGAGCAAGGCAGAGAGGTCAGTGCAGCAGTTCTCAACCTGTGGGTCACGACCCTCTCACAGGGGTCGCCTAAGGCCATCAGATACTTATATTATGACCTATAACAGTAGCAAAATTACAGTTATGAAGTAGCTATGAAGGTAATTCTATGGTTGGGGGTCACCACCACATGAGGAACTGCATTAAAGGGTTGCAGCGTCAGGAAGGTTGAGAACCACTGGTTTAGGAGCAAGTGTTCCTGACCATGTAGACTGCGTATCTTGAGGGGCAGCAGGATTCGGGCTTTGGAGTTTGAATCTCAGATCAGTTACTTGTTAACTTGCTTAGCATGTCCCCTTGCATGAGTGACAGTCTCTACATGCCCTTCTTCTTTAGCTGTAAAATGGAGATCATGGAATGAACTTTGCAAAGTTAGTAGATGCCGGAACGAGTTCAAGTTTGTTGGGCCCAGTTGTCTTAACTCAGGAAGCATCTAGTAAATCTAAGCGGTCATTAACCACCCCGACCGTCTTCCTCAACCCCCTGGCTGCCACACGTGCTAGAGTAACACGTGGCTCTGGCTCTTGGCTTCTACCCTCAACAGGAGCGGCTTTGTGTTTGTCTGCCGTTCCTAATCTAGGGTCCCTTTTCTGAAGTGTCACTTCTCCCAGGGTAGAGAAGGGTCTCCCAGTTGGCCTTCCCTCTGCAAGCTGTCTCTTTGTTCTGCTCACAAAGCAACAAGAATAATCTTTTCCAAAGAGCACTGTCCGTGCGTTCCTGAATCCCCTCTGTCTATCTGAGCTTCTTCTGTCGTTCAAAACCACTTCACTAACGCTGCCTCCCCCAAGCATCTCCGCGCTGCACCACATCCTGCCTCACCCCCAGGAAGGTGAGCTCAAGAGCAAGGTCCAAAAAGAACCCGGTTACCAAGATCTTTGACTGCCATCTGCAGCAATATGGCTGCTATCAGCCAGGGTCCCATGAGGAAGCAGATGGTGTGCTCATATTGGGTAATTTAAAGACAGTTAATGAAGGCCTATTTAATGAAAGGACTGTGCACAAAGTTATGGGCAAGATTTAGTGAAACAAATAATGCAAAGTAAATACTTCAGAACTTGTAACAGTTGGAAGCCATTATCACCCACTAAGCATGGAGGTTCAAGGGCGGGGCAGAGTCACCACAACTCAAAGAAAAGTGGTTGCATGGGAAAGAAAGACTGATGAGAACCATGACCTTCTGTAGAGGCATATGGATAAGCCATGGAACCCAGCGGGGAGAGAATCGAGAGAGGAAATATTCTCTCTCGACATTCCCTTTGCCCTCTACTCTTTCCTGAGTCTAACTGAAAGCCAGGGTGCAAGTCAACCTTTCAAACAGCTCCTCCAGGACAATTCCTTGGGACACAGGCGAAGGTAGACAAGTACGAAGAACGATTGGTATGTGTGTGTGTGGGGGGGGGGGATACAAAGCAGACATTGGGCATGATTGTAAGTATAAATCTATGATGGCCCTACAGTTTTGCAATAAACAGCTTCCCTTACTATTAGTCATATTAGAGTGAGTTACAGGCCGTGGTGTAAGTGATCTAACAATGGCTGTCTCCTGATGGAAAGCCCAAGAATCTGTGGTTGTTCAGCCCATGAGACTAGAAGTTGATTCCTAGAGAGCTGCTGGTCTTCAGTCTACATTGGCATCCTGAAGAAGAAGGTGCTAATAACTGTGAAGGAACGCCTCGGTAGCGGGACAGGTTAACTCACCATCGAGAGGGAGGGCAAGCAGGCAGAAGGCAGAAGCTTCCCTCTTCCATGTCCTCTCCTGTGCATTGCCACCGGAAGATTTAGGGTAGATCTTCCCATTTCAAACACTTCAACCAAGAAAAATCCCTCGTAGGCATGCCCAAGATGCTTGAGTTTTAGTTGATTCCAGATGTAGTCAAGTTGACCACCAGGATTAGCTATCACACTGACCGATTACAGGACCATTCTATGACCCTAAGTCCCTCTACCTCCAGCCATTAGTATCCTGACATCTTCCAGCCCCATCACCAATGTCAGGGCTTGCTCCCAAGGAGTTTTTAAGAAAAGAGCAAATGAGAAAGCCACTTGATAGAAGGCAAATTATTGGAAAGTACTGAGTGTGCTAGAATAAGAGATTATCTTACATTCACCCACCAGAGAATGTTATCAGCATGATACAAGTCTACAATAGCAGTAGTGTGAATGAGGCCTGTCCTTCAGAAGATCAGTAGAGGTGCTCCTAAAAACAATACTCCAGGGCTAGAAATTGTCCTAAAAACACATAGGAAATGAAGAAAGTCTATACAAGAAAAATCTACTAACATTTGATTTTAAGTAAGTGCCACCTCTGAACCATGACACCTCTTCTTCCTCTTGTATCCTTTGCCTTTGCCTGGCAGATATGGCTAATACTAAGATCTCTGTCTTACCAACTTCCAATCAGGTTACAATTCCCTGAAAAAGGGGGCAGACTATCAGCATTTCTTGATTCCCTCTAACTCTGAAAGAGATAATTTTCCCACTGTGTGAACACCATTCATAGGACACAGATACTACCCTAGGTAGAAAAGGCCATGAATCCTGAACCCTGAGTCCTCACCCCAATGCAGTGATAGAGCACAAGTCTGACCCTAGGAAGAGCAATCCAAGACAGGATGATGGCCCTATGCAGCAGTGGACACTTAGAAGTTTCTCACCAGAGGGAACTGGAGCCATCAGAAGACAGTGCTTAAAAGCTAGACTAGACCACGGGCCACCTCCTTCACCAAATCGGACGAGACCACGGGCCACCTTCTTCACCAAATCGGACTAGACCACGGGCCACCTGCTTCACCAAATCCAACTAGGTGAGCGCAAAGAAAAGCCCTCCAGGGGCTTTTAATAACCCTACAAAAATTCCCCCCAGGAATGGTCTGAGTTCAAACTGCTGAACAATGGGTGTCAGGGCATTTCTGTAAGATGATAGAAAGATGATAGAGCAATCAGTGAGTTATTAGTCAGCCCAAGAGCTGAGAGTGATATCAGCTGAGAGAGTCAACAGAGAGATGGGGAAGAGAGTCAGAGAGTTCTTGGAAAACAGTTGCTACCCCAGGGAGACTATGCACACACCCATGTCTACACCCCTGAGGAACAGCAACAGAGACCTCACACTAGAAGAAGAATAGACTTCACTGATCAGCCTGTCTGAGTAATTAGATAAACAAGCGATTGGTAAGAGCAAGCTCCAGAAACAGGGACATGGAGTCAATATCTAAAGCTGCTATAAAACATTATCAATTTCTCAACAAAAACTTTAAAAGGTGGCAGTCGGGACATAAGGGAGGGTGGGCTAGGCAATGGGCACTTCTTTGGACAGGGTCCTGATGTTGGAATTAACAGACAGACCT